CTCTTGCTGAAATTTAAGCCCATTTCTTCTTGTCCCATCCTCAGAGGTTAAAGAGAACAATTTTTCTCCTTCCTCCTTGTAACAACTTTTTATGTACTTGAAAACTATCATATCCCCTCTCATTCTTCTCTTCTCCAGACTAAACAAACCCAATTTTTTCAAGCTTCCACATATGTCATGTTTTCCAGATCTTTAATTATTTTTGTTGCTCTTCTCTGGACTTTACCCAATTTGTCCACATCTTTCCTGAAATGTGGCACCCAGAACTGGACACAATATTCCATTTGAGGCCTAATCAGCACAGAGTGGAAGATTTACTTCTTCTGTCTTGCTTACAACACTTCTGCTAATACATCCTAGAATGATGTTTGCTTTTTTTGCAAAAGTGTTATACTGTTGATTCATATTTAGCTTGTGATCTACTATGACCCCCAGATACCTTTCTGCAGTACTCCTTCCAAGGCAGTCATTTCCCATTTTGTATGTGTGCAACTGATTGTTCCTTCCTAAGTGGGGTACTTAACATTCGTCCTTGCTGAATTTCATCCTATTTACTTCAGACCATTTCTCCAGTTTGTCCAGATTATTTTGAATTTTAATCCTATCCTGCAAAGCACTTGCAACCCCTCCCAACATGGTATCATCTGCAAACTTTATAAGTGTATTCTCTATGCCATTATCTAAATCACTGATGAAGATATTGAACAGAGTTAGACCTAGGACTGATCCCTGCGGGACCCCACTTGATATGCCCTTCAGCTTGCCTGTGAACCACTGATAACTACTCTCTGTGAATGAAGTATCAGAGGGGTAGCCGTGTTAGTCTGAATCTGTAAAAAGCAACAGAGGGTCCTGTGGCACCTTTGAGACTAACAGAAGTATTGGCAGCATAAGCTTTCATGGGTAAGAACCTCATCTGACTTGCATTTGAAGAAGTGAGGTTCTTACCCACGAAAGCTTATGCTCCCAATACTTCTGTTAGTCTCAAAGGTGCCACAGGACCCTCTGTTGCTCTCTGGGAATGGTTTCCCAATCAGTTATGCACCCACCTTATAGTAGCTCCATCAAGTTTATATTTCCTTAGCTTGTTTAAGAGTAAGTCAGGTGAAAGTATTAAAAGCCTTACTAAAGTCAAGATCTCCCACATCTACCACTTCCCCCCATCCACAAGGCTTATTACACTGTCAAAGAAAGCTATTAGGTTGGTTTTATACTATTTGTTCTTGACAAATCCGTGAAGACTGTTACTTATCTTATTATCTTCTAGGTGTCTTCAAATTGATTACTTAATTATTTGCTCCATAATTTTTTCAGGTACTGAAGTTAAGCTGACTGGTCTGTAGTTCCCAGGTTGTCCTTATTCCCCTTCTTATAGATGGGAACTATATTTTCCCTTTTCCAGTCTTCTGGAATCTCACCTGTCTTTCATGACTTTTCGAAGATAATTGGCAATGGCTCAGCTATCTCCTCATTCAGCTCCTTGAGTATTCTCGGACGTATTTAATTGGCACTGGTGACTTGAGGACATCTAACTTGTCTAAGTAATTTTTAACTTGTTATTCTCCTATTTTAGCCTCGGATCCTACCTCATTTTCACTGGCATTCATGAAGTGATATATCCAATTGTTACTAAACTTTTTGGTTAAAATTGGAACAAAAAAGTCATTTAGCACTTCTGCCATTTCCACATTTTTCTGTTATTGTTTTCCCCCCCTCATTGAGTAATGGACATACCCTGTCCTTGGTCTTTCTCTTGCTTCTAATGTATCCCTCTATCCCCCTCACAGTGACAGAGTAGAGGGGGTGGCCATATTGCCTCCCGGCAGCCTGGATTCAATTGTATTGGAAATACGCATTGTCTTGATGAAAATGCAGCAGAGGATCATAAAAAGCTAAAAACCCCACTCTGAATAGCAAAAACCCCTTGATAAAATCACAAGATTTGGCAACACTAAGTTTCTTACCTAGCAGTTTTACTCCTGAGCTTTCAGTTTCTGCACTGGGGCTTTCTCTAAAGTCTATTGATATCAGTGGCCTTTGGATCAGGCCATAGTGGCCCAGTTGCATTTCAAACTTGTGTTTCAGCATACAACAAATGTATTACTGGAACTTAAATGGAAAGTAAACTGATTATTCAATATGGATAAAAGTACAAAAGTTTGGATGCTTATGCATACCTCATCCAAACTTCCTGGGTCTACAAAACTGAGCTAGAAATTAATGAGATTTCCAGTATTTCTTGATTTGAATAAGTCTGGAAATATTGATTCTCACAGTATATTGTCACTTTTGCTCCCTATAGGACCATGCAAAAATGGGGAAAAAAATCTAATGAAAGATGCTGGAGTCAGAGGCCATCTATTTAGCCACTAGTAAAGCATGTTAGGGAAACTACTAGCTCTACTCCATGTCACTAGGATCCTAAAACACCAGTTGCAAGGGTGAGGGGAGTTCAGTTTCCATGACTATTTGGTCCTTGATCTCTCTGCTGAGACTGACAAAAAGAGTGCTAAATTGTGTCATTTATAGAGTGGTGTAGCCGGGTGGTCACCCGCTCCTGCCCGGAAGGGCTTAAACCAGCCCTTTGAGAGGGCTGTGGCAGGGGGAACAGCCCAGGCTGAGTGGGAAGCAGGCTCAGCTGGGGTCATACCCCAATCAGGGCCCAGCTGGCCCTATAAAGGCTTGAGCCTGGAGCTCAAGCAAACACTCTCTCTCTGCCTTTAGAGGGAGAAGGGCCTGGCTGCTAGGGAGCGTACCTGGGTACCTACGGTGGAGTAGGGCTGGGGGAAGGCAAGAGGAGCTGGGCAGCTCCGGCCTGGAAACCCCCCAGGCTGCAGGCCTAGGGTAAGACCAACTGGGTACTGGGGTTGCAAAGGGGCAGCTCACGGGTAGGTAAAGGCAGCAGGTCCAAACCCCTTTGTCTGTGATGAGTGGCTGATACACTGCAGTCTGCCCCAGTGAACGGGGGCTAAGTGATGACTGGCAGTAGCCAAGACTAAGGCAAAGTGGGGATAGTAGGTGAGGGTTCCCCTGGGAGGGGGAGACCCAGAACTGTGGGGTTACTGCCAGGTTACCCCAGATAACGGGGCACCGGGTCCTGGGAGTAGAGTGAGGGAAGGTGGCTCACCGGCCTGCAGATGGCGCTCCGGAGCTGGGATGAGCTAATTCCCACAGACAACCAGCAGGAGGCGCCGCAGGGCTGAGTCCCGCAACCTTAAAAGTGGACAACTGTTGACTAAGAACTGGACTGAGCTCACTAATTCATTTGGCCTACGACACTGGACAGCAGAAACTTCTGGTCCTTCCCAGCCTGCGCTGGATTTGAATCCGCAACCTAGAACTGAAAAGTTCAACAACACACTATAAGCCAGATTTGTAAAAATCTCAGCAGCTCTCACTGAGACATTTTTGTGAGAACGTGCTGAGCTCTTCTGGAACTCAGGCACTATCTGGCCCCAAGTCAGTAAGTCACCAATGAAAGATAATTTTTTGGGCTGGGGGAAATAACCAAACCTTTTCTTTCCTGAAAAAAGTTTAAGTTTGTATTCAGATGGATGAAGGTCCAGCAGATCAAGTGATTTATTCAAACTTCTTCAATATCCATCCCCTTCTCAGAGGGCAATAAAAGAGAATCAAATGTACACAAAATTATGTTAGTAAAGTAATTATGATAGAGATTCCATGTACACAAATGTAACTTTGAATTTTGACATTTCCCTCAACACTCAGGTTGAACGAGATTGAATAGACTACATGGATTAAGGCATTAAAAATTAACATCATAAGAAGTAAGACAAAACAGTTCTTATATGAAAAGGGCCTGAGTTGTAGTCACTGTGAGAACCACAACTTTCAATTTCCTGACTTTTCTTTGTGTAAATCTCAATCATAACATTACACATCAAACACACATGAGAAAAATGACATTAAAAGTACTATATAGTTCAACGACAGCCTTGGGAAAAACAAATTGAGAACTGGCATGTCTTACCGCAAAATGAAACTACTATATAGTGTGTGTGTGTACACACACACACATATATAAAACAGTCTTCATTCTCACTTAGCTAACAGTCTAATTGAAAACCTCATTGGCAAGTGAAAGAGTTAGCTGAATCTTACAATGAGGAGGAGAACATTATTTATAATAGCCACTTTATTTTGTTATCCTCCTCATTTGCCAATGAGGTTTTCAATTAGACTCTCAGCTAAGTGAGAATGAAGACTGTTGGGAGACGCAACATTATTCTAGCTGCTAGAATAATAGTGAATACTGAAAAATAGGTGTCTTTTCAGTTATCTAGATATTTCATACTAAATGCTGAAATGTCATTCACTGCATGTTACAGATGATCTTGAACTTTGGAAAATATTGTCACTTTTATTTTCTTAATATTTCAATATTTGCTTAAATTTGAACAGCTATACCACTGCAAATCAACCTCAGCCATTATTTGAGAGTGAAATTCCCAAACACTTAATTGAAACTATAAAAAGGGCTTGTTATGTAAACAATATAGATATGTTTACTGGTGGATTTATATTTACCTGTAGGACAGGGTTTATGATATCTTCTAACAAAATGCCACATTTAACCTAATTTATATACCTTTATTAGAAAAATGATATGTAGCCTATGAATAGCAAAGAGGGAAACATTCCCTTTCAGTTCTAAATCGAATTTAATGAACTTAAGGAGCATAGAAGGAATGGGTGAATTGAACCTCTGGCAGGAGTCCAATTCCCATAGAGCAAACATATTCCTTACTGTGGTATGTCTTTTCATGTGCAAAATGAGACCTGCTAAAAAAGACTTAAATATCAGATAGAGACATACCTTTCTAATATACTGTACATTGTTCTGTTCTTCTCAGGAGCAGTTTAGGAAGCAAAAGAGGTGGATTTTAGAGAGTTTTCCACACATTAAAAATCCCAGAAGTATACATCAAGCATACTTAACTTTAAATGTTCTGGGATCATTTCCTGTCTTTATACTATACCTGTGTAGATGTCATGAACAGGCCCTGGCGATCGTCCCATGGTATTGTCTGCAGCATCATGTGGTGAAGGGGCTGGTTGGAGAGGCTGAATAGTGAGGCAATCGTTGAGGATGTCCTGGTCAAGCTCTGAGCTTGATCGCAACTGAAGCACAAGAGATAAGAAGGAAAAACCATCATCACAGGAAAATGATCACCAAGATATTGGGCAGTGATAATGAAGAAAGGCTGAGGGGTTGGAGGAGGAAACTGAGAGAGAAAGATTCTTCTATATACAATCCTGAGAAATGACTGTTCCATTACTGCAGTGGTTCTCAAAATATGGGCCACAAAGCATCCTGATGGCCCACAGAAGGAAATATTTTAAGAACCAAGGGAGGGGGATGGAGCGGGGGAGGGGCGAGCAGAAGAAATTCACAAAAGATGCTCTCTTCTTTGCACAGTGCTCCACAGAATTGAAATACTGGCTTGACTGCTGCACATTAGAGAAACTATCAAATGGGACCAACATTTCCTTTATGAGCAGGGAAGTGATGTGTACAGTATAAACATTTGTAAGATGTCTTAAAATAGTGATCTCAACCTATAGCTCTAAAGACACATGTAAGGTTTTGTTACCCTTATATACAGCTCATCTGGAGTTTATGGACCTGATTCTCATTTACACTAAGACCACTTTGGCAATATATAGTGGACATAAAGAGTTATATTTACAGTGCTGAAGCTGTAAAATGGCCTTAATGTAAATGAGAATGAGGCCCTATGGGTCTAATTGGAAGCACCTTTCACTTTGCGTGGTCTCATGAGAGGCCATACAGAGAGTGCTAAGTAAGTGGGCTATAGAAATCCAGGATCTAACCCAATTCCTCCAACAATCCAGCGGAGGAAGATAAGGAGAAGAGAAGAAACAGAGGAAGAGAGAAACATCCCTGTTCCTCCCACATTTGGGAATGGGGAACCAGAGAAAGAGGCAACAGTGTTGAATGGACTTATGGAGAGCCACAAAATAGTCACAGTGCATGATGCTGATATTAATTTGTGATTTCATCATGTTGCAGGTCAGGCAATGTCGTGCTGGGATTGATCTGTTGGTGGCTTCAAGCAATGAGTCTAGGGTTTCCCCAGCTCTTCAAGGATGAGCTTCATTGTCTCAAAGCCTTAAAAACACATTGAATCATTCCCCACTCTGTTAGACCAGTTTTAAGCAGCATGACTCCTGCTTTACATTGGCATGACTTATTGACTTCACTGGATTTTCAATGGTGTCAAACTGGGGTAATGGAGTGGAGAATCAGGCCCATATATTCAAAGCAGTGTAACTATATTAACTATAACAGAGACAAATAACATTGAAATCATAAATGAGGAGGACTGTGATTAGTTAAAACCATTTGCTCGGCCCACGTATACTGTACATTATTTTCCTCTCTGAAACAAAAAAGTTATGCAACAGTGGTGCTTAATATTCCTAAGGGTAAAAGATCTTTGTAAGGTATGTATGTATGTATGTTTTTTTGGAGTTTATCTAAAGCCCAAAGCATAGAAAATTTCAAAGAAAAAAAATCAAGTTTAATATGAGTTCTGGAAATCAGTTTTCATTTATCGCCCGTATTTACAATCTGCTCAAGGGCCCAGATGTTTTTTCTACTGTAGCCTGGAACCCCTGTCTGCTTTCTATTACTTACTAGTTCTTATGCCATTACTGCTACCAGCAGTAATATGGCCTTTTATGAAATTAAGTGCATGTGTACTCCTGGGGCCAAACATATTTAAATTCTTTTCATCTATAGTTTTCTTAACATAAGAAGCAGAAGTCGTGCTAATTTCTACCAAACCTGATTCATCATCATAATAATATAAAATAAAAATAATAATAAAACAAAGACAACCATCCTTTTCAAGAAAGATTTCAAACCAATGTTTACACAGAGTGAAGATTTCCAGAGGTTCCTGTGTAAATTGCTTGTTTGCAATTAATTGGTCCTTTTTACTTCATAGCATGGAACTGATCACCTTTTTCTTTAGGAACCACAGGCAGGTACAATTAAGGGAAAAGTAGTTAACAGAACTAAGAGAAGTGTAGTTTGAGTATTTACACATTAGATATGCATGTTAAACAGAAATGTCAACCAAATATACACAAAGTACATTACACACATTTCTCTCTATTTTGCTTTATTTGTGACATGTGTTTTCTATCTGGCACTGGGAATGATTCCCTCAGGACAATCAGTGCTAAAACAAAATTTTCTGACTTGCCCAGCGATCAGGAATAATTCTTATAAAAAACTCTGGAAGAAAGCTGTGTTCTGATTGTCTGTCTGCAGAGGGTTCTGAACCCATGTAATTATTTCCCAGAAAGACCACACTGCATTCATTACGTTCAGCTCACATTTGGAAGGGTTTCTTCACAACTATGAGGACTAAAAACAAATGAAAGCTTAGATTCTGGAGAAAGAGGTGGATTCTGCAGTCAGTTGCACAGTTGCACAACAAAACTATAAAAAGGTCAGTCATGAGACATACTGCACACCCTTGCAAGGGAATAAAGGTGTTAGGGGCACCCTGTCTTCTCCATGTAGCCTACACTGTGGGGAGTGAGGGGAAAAGAGAAACAGTTGCCACAGGTCTGCTATTTTCCTTCCTGCAAAGGTGGCTAGGAAACCGGCAAGAATGCCTGGGTAGCCTTGTCTCCACCCCACTAATGCATCAGGCAGTGCACCGGAACCATTGCAGAGGGGGGAAGTTATCTGTGCCAGTAAAAGGGCAGGTACAAGCTATATCCTCGCTGGAGCAAAAGAGATGGTGACTCTCAGCATCATAGTTTCCGCAGGTCAAAAAGATGTATTTTATTTCTTGCAAACATTTTTTAAAAAGTAGTCAAAAATTTCCACAGAATTTTTCAGGTTTTCATAGAAAGCCTGAAAACTGTAATTTTTTGGTTTACATTGTCAAAAACTAAAATTGGTTTTTGGAGTCATTTTTTCCGATTAACCCCCCCCAAATGTTGTTAAAAACAGAAATTCTCTCGTGAAAATTTCTGTTTTTTGTCAACCAGCCTATTTTCATAGAAAAAAGTTAAGAAAAAATGCTGACCAGCTCTATGTTGACAATCTAATTTCTGCTTTGCTTCTGTGAGAGTATATTTACATGTGCCCCTTACTCAGGCTGGGTTATAGGGATATCATCCATTCTTAAGGTAGTTTCTGAAATAACTGGACTTTGATTTGACTATGTAATAAGTCTCACTTCAAACTTGCAAATCAAATATACTGTATTCCTGGCTGTGACAGAGTCCATCTCATATGAGCATCCAGCTAGTCATCAGTGCAATTTCATTGTGACTTAAAACATGCCAATCATTCTACCCTTGAGCAGAGAGGCAAAGGTACGGTCTGTAGCAAGTTATCTTGCTGAGTGATGAAATTAATGACAGACATTCTTAACACACTGAGCATAGAGATTTCCGGTGTGCCATTTCTTGGCCTGAATTCATGGCTGGCCCAGGTGCAAGTAAACAACCCAGCTGCTGAGCTGCTGCACAACCTTCCTTTATGAAATATTTGTTCCAAATGATAGATTTTCAACTTTAATAATTAAATCACCCAGCAGACTTGACAAGCTCTGTATTTAGAAACTTGAGCTGCTTCCATCACAATATGGGGATTTCTTTTAATATATAAAAACAAGGCACTGTCAACAGCGATTTACATTTGTTCCTCCCCCCATCCCCCATGACAGTTCTGCTAATGTTTATAAGCTCTCAGAACAAGAGATGGAAATTCTACTCCTGCCATTTTCTCATTTCAGATATGATTGAATAATCACCCAAGATTAAGTGAGTCAAGTGGAAGTAATTAGGAGGGAATAAGGGCCAGATTCCTCAATTTTCAATTTCATTGTATTTGAGTCTAAAAGCAGAGGCATTACGTTAGTTTGATGCATGACATATTTCCAAAGAAAACTACTAAGAATCAAAGACCTTTTGTTTTGCATTTCTCTAGCCAATGTGTTTTATCTGGGTTGTGCGTGTTTCTGCATAACATTGGTAGGTTCTTCTTCTTGTTCAACAGGAATCAGATGCCACAAAAATGTGTGTTTATGAAGAGTCTTGGCCATGAGAAAAGTAGTTTAAGATTTTTAAAATAGGATTAGTTTTTCCCAAACCATTTAAAATAGGATCATAATAACTTCAAAACCCTGCCTGGTATTCAATATTACTGTAGCATTTTAACATCAGTTCTTCTTCACAAAGACTGGGCCTCTCTCACCACAAAAACTTACCAGCTTAATAATTTATGTCCAAGAAGTTTCAACCTAATTATTCTGAAAGCAACTTGTATGGGCTGTATGTACACTTGTGTGCATAACAGAAGATCTCCACACATAGGGTCAAGTATCAATAACAAATGTGGCCACTTGTCTGGCACTTGTCAGATCTACTGTGGCTGCCGTGTCTTAAATGGCAAAATAAAACTGAATATCAATATTTTTAATGGGGAGAATTCTTTACACTAAAATGTCATAGCATTATAAAACTATTTTCTATGTATAAATATAAAGTGAGTTGCATAATTTATGAATCAATAATAACAACAACCCCAGCTGATAAGGACTGAGTAAGGCTTAGTGGTGGTCAAGTATGCCTATCACTGTCTGCCTGGAAGATGGTAGTGATGGAAGTGGAGCATGATCCTCTACCTTTGCCTCCACACATTTTGTGAATTTGTCTAGGAGAATATCCGGAAGTTAATATTTGCCTGAAATAGTACAGAGCCAAATCTCATGCCTGCTAGTCGAATGGCACTGATAGAGTACACCAATCTGACCACTGGAAAAATAAAAATTAAACATGAAGCCAAAGCTATGTAAGAGTGTTTATTCATGCTATATGTTTGCATGGTAGATCACATGCTGTTCATACAGATCAACTTCATCAAGGTCTAATGCTCCCATGCACAGGACTAAATCATGCTGACAGTGGAAATTCTGCAAGTTTGTACTTCCCAAGTTTTTTCCTAATTCCTCCACTCAGAAGTAATATAGAGCTGGGAAACAATATAGAAGGAAGGGGTCTCTGTCGTGAAGCTCTTCGCCTCTATTTAATCACCTGAGATCTGTGCAACTTTAACAGATACATATACA